CTTTCTTAGATAATTATTTATTTTCTAAAGTTAAAGCATCAACTCTAGCTAATAAAATAGCAATTTCATCATTTTTTTATTGTATATATTTATCTTTTTTTGAGTCATCAGGAGATTACATTTGTTATAATTAAAATTTATAGCTTTCAATTTCATTATCTTTTAATGCAAGTTGTAATTTTAAATTAGATATTTCAGCTTTTAACTCATTATTTTATGATTAATCTTATTATTCAATCATTGAAAATGCAATACTTCTAACTGATTAAGATGTATCTCTACTCTCTATTTCTTATTTAGGTGTAGGCATTTGCATAGAATTTAATTTATTTTCAGCATCTTTTCTTCTTATATTCCTTAATATCCATAATTCAAGATCTTCATGATTAGTATTCTTTAATTGAGTACTAGCTAATATAAATATTGCAGATAGTCCTTTAATAAATGAATCATATTTTTTAATTAATTATGTTATTAGAAATAGAGTAGTATCAAAATTAAACATGTTAATTGAATATGTTATTAAATATCGCTTTAATCTACTTTGTAAAAATTATTTCAACAATTATTTTTCATCTTCTCCTAAACTATATCCTTTTACACAATATGTTAATATACTTACGATGCATTCATCAGGGGGTTTCTATTTGCATATTATGGTTAATAATTAATAAGTTGATGCTTCTGATGAAAAACATAATAGAAAATTGGCTAAACATACTAATTCTGCTGAAAATTACACTTCTGGATTCTTAGAACAAAATGTCAAACAAACATTCTGTAATTTTTGATTGTCTTTGCCTACAAGATAATAAAATTCTTTTAAAGAATAGTTAATATTGTCAAAACCACTTATTTCTGTTTTATCAAATCTTATTTTAGCGCTCTCACGAGCATTCTTATAATCTTGTTAACTTAGAGTACCTCCCAACCATTATTTCGATATAGTGTCAACTCCATAAGCAATATGATTCTACTCCACAAAATTCTTTATTTACTCTGATTCCTTGAATTAGACTTCCATATACCTCTTTACAGATTTTACACATTCTATGTGGTTTTGTGGATTCTTTACCATCTTTTTTAATATGGTTAATCTTGAATGGAGAACATCCCTCACATACAGCTCTTAAACATCTGCATTATGTTTTATTCTTACCTTTTGCATTGATGTTCTCTAGTTGTAAAACTGAAACTTTTCTAACAGATTTGACATTTTGGAATTTTTCCACGCACTTCAGGAATATTGATATAGGTTATAAATTATTTCATTTTTTTATTAGCAGTTCAAGTAATTATTATTTATAATACTTGATAATCTAAAATTTTGATTATTATTATCTTTTCTCATGGTTTCATTTATCCATATAGATAATAATATGATTATTTTATTATTACTTAATTCTGTAATTGCTAGCAAACCAGAAGTCAAATTAAATGTTTAAAACAATAAGTAAACATAATTTACTGCTATTGTTGATTAAACTAAAATATTATATGAAGATCCATCATGCTTTTAAATAGTTTTATGGAAAAGAAGTGAAAAAGATTCTCATAAATATAAATTTACAGATCAAGATTATGATTTATTAGTATAAGAAGAGCATAAATTATAAGGAATCTCAGGTTGTGTTCCTATACAAAAATCATTCTAAATTTAATAACATTTGAGAATGGGATTGCCAAGCAATGAAAAAATCTTTTATACAGATTTAATTATATTATAAAACAGAGCACTTATAATCAGAAATGATTTCACCTTACAAGAAATTAATATTGCACATTCATAATTCACTAAAACTTTAACTTAATAAAAATTGAAAATTCCACACTCTGATATATCTCATCCAATCTTCTTATGGAATAATCACAATAAAAGAGTTTATATAATATCTGAGAATGGAGGTGTCAGTATACCTGATTGGATGTATTAATTTAAATTCAATATCCTTATAGATCAATAGGTGAGAATACCTTTTTTATCAACTCAGAACCGTTTAAATAAAGGAAAATAGTGTATGATGCCTATTTAAAAGATAATACAATATATGTTGCTTGTGGTTATGAGGGAGTTGATGTTTATAATTATTAAGATGGTTAATTAAGATATTTTAAGAATATAGAGAGAATTGATGAGAAATATTTGAATGCAAAAGATATAAGTGGAGATGATGAAAGTATAGTTTAATTTAATATAAATAATAGATATTTACATACTTGATCATTATTAGGGTTTATTAATTTGTGGATATGATTTTTAAATTAAATTCCGAGTACCAATTTTGATGGGAAGTGATTTTAGTCATTATAAAAATACATTTTTTGTTATTGCAGAATCATAAAGAAGATAAGATTATGCTTTAGAAATCTTTTTAAATTTTACAGATAATTCATATTACTTTAATCATTATTATATTGATGAGATGTAATTTTATGACGTTAAAGTATATGAGAATTATACTATTTTAATTGGATATGAAGCACATAAAATTATATAGCATTCCATATTTTCATAATTTATTAAATTTTCAAGTAACAATTTTTTTGAATTCCCTTAAATGTTATAACTTAAATAATGGAATGACTCTATTGTTGGATTGTCAAAAAAAGAATTAAGATTACTTTAAATTAATCAATTACCAGCTCATATTGAATGTGAATCTTAAGAATACTTTTAAGAAAGCTTTTTAGTAGCATCATATTTCTTGAATTCTTCTTCTCCTTTCATAGCAACAAAATTTAATTAAGTCTTTTAAATTATCTTTTAAGATACTAAAGTATTATCTAAAAAGAATTTAACACTATTTGGTATTGCCCTTTTCCTTATATTTTTAATTTTTTGGCTTGTATTGCTTAGTATTGCTTGTTTCAAAAGATTGAGAAATAGAATTATCAAATTAGAAGATGATAAAAGAGCCTTAACTAAATAAGCAGATATGGATAAAGATGATGGACCAGGATAAGAATTATCAGCAATATGATACAAAGAATTGTATGTATTTCAAATTAAATGTTACATGATTAATTAATAAATATAAATATGTTTACTTTTCACACTTAAAATTATATATTATTTGATTTCTGTAATATAGTTTTTTTATTATTTTATATAAATAAATGTATTATTAGTTTAATATTTTTTATAAAAATGAACTCATAGCAATATTAACAAGAAATATGGAATATGAGAGTGGCTGTTAAAGTATATCTATTAAATAGCAATATACCACCTATATACCTTATGATTTATAGATAACATTATTTACTATTCTATTATCAATAAATTTATGATGTACCAATATATTAATTAAACATTTAGCATTTCAATTCCTTTTAACCTTAAATTAATAAGATAAATTAAATTTCTTTTAGATATAAACATACTCTATTACCCTATTAAATACCTTTTGGAGTATTAGTTGATTTATATAAAAGTGAGGATACATTTACACCTATTGAATTAATATTAATCTATTAGAAAGATGCCCATTTTATTAATTTAGAAGATGAAATAAAGAACTAAATCAAATTTAATCTAAAATAGGCTTGCTTTGGTCGTTACAATCATGAAGGATACGGAACTCCCCTCAAAAATTTAACCTAATATATGTCAATTAGTGATGAGAAATAAGCATTAAAATAAATAAAGTCATTTGAAAATAAGGAAGATCTTTATAAATATTATAAGAAAATATTTGAAACACCTAAAACAGGAAAAATCTAACTTCCAATTAGAATATATTTCAAAAAAGGAGGACACTTTTAAACTATAATTGAATTGAATGACTAATAATTAACTATAGGATAAGCATTAAATATTAAATTGTAAGGAGCCACTTTTATATTCAATGGATTACCATTAAATACTTAAATTCCAGCTCAAGACTTTTATGATTAACTTTACTCAATTGATGGTTTTTGTTATTTTGTATGTTGATATTACATTGAATATTAAGCTTAAAAAAATATTTATAATTTAAAGAATTATATATATAAAAATATCATCTAATTTCTTGGATGAATTCGTTATTTTATCATTTCATTATTTGTCATTTTTTAATTGCAATTTGAAGCATCTTATTAGATAGAACAAATTTAAAATGCCATAAAAATCATATCTAATTTTCAATTTATCAATTACTTGATACTAATCCAAAAATCCAACTAATAGATAGATCAAAATCAATTTAATCTTACTTTGACAATAAATCTTTAATAGTAAATTGAATATATGTGGCTTTAATTACTTAAAATTAAATTCAATATGTTAATACTCATTTCAAATCTAGGTTTGTTCTATTCTAAAATAATTTTTGACAATATCCTGTTAAACATAATAACAATATTAAAGATATGTTAGAAATTAATTACAATTTCTATTTTAATTTTAATTTCATATATTTAAGTGCATGATTAACAAATTGTTTCTGTTTCTTTTGATATTCACGCTATAATATTCTTTTTAAATTACTAAATCTTTACATCTAATTAATAATTATACCATAAATTTCAAATTAAGTATTTTAACAATAATTATAATTCATCTTTTAAATGAATTTCAGAAATTGTTTATACGTAATTTTAAATATAAAGATTAGGATTTTCTAATTAATAGATTAATAAAAATGAAACTTAAAAAAAGGTAATAATGCTTTAATTTTTCTTAGATTAAAAATAGCAACCAACAAGGATAGTCAAAATAATTTTGTTTTATAAAATTTGAATATTTTTACATGTAATCTAATAATTAATTTTAGTGAAAACTTAGAATAAATTAAAGTTAATACTATTTTGAGGTATTCTGATATAAATATCAAAAAATATTAGATAATAGCAGAAGTAATATTAAAAATTAATCTTTTAATTCTTTATTCTCTAAAATTGAATTATCTACTCACATCTATTTCTAAATTTAGTAGAATATTATGTATTATGTGAGATTAATATTCTTATTTATAATGATTATGTATATTATATTAATTATTATTCAAAATCATCTTATTCACTTTGTGCTTTTTGGACTACATAATTTCAAAGTTAATTATTTTTATTAGCTAGAATAATGAGATTAAATCATACCTTTGTAATTGTCTTGATTTTAACACTTGTCTCTTTGTAGTATAACAAGTTCTACGAAGAAAATCATTTTATAACGGTTCTTCAGGTATTTTTTTGTAAGATCGTAAATTTAATAAATAATTGAACTTCCTTTAATTTTGTAATTAACCACCTTCATTGCATCTGTCATTTTATAATCAATTTCTACGTAATGTAAAAATCCCTTCCTGAACCATCATTAGGATAATGTTAGAATTTTGGTGTTATACTAGGCAAACTTATTTGTACTTCCTTCTTTCCTAATCCTGCTCTTTCATATACTCCATCAAAATGAGTTTGACTATCCTTTAATAAACCACCATTTGAATATTATACATAGTAGTCTCTACCTTTATGTCTAAATTTAATATTATACCTGCTCCATTTGCATGGTATCTTGTAAAGTATCGTGGATCGACACATGATGCTGTAGACATATTATTAATATTATTATTAATTATGGGATGCATTAGTGCCAAAGATGTCCAGTAATCTATCAATAACAACATCTATAATAATATGAAATAAATACACATCATAGCCTTTGATTAAGTAATTTTTATATTCATATTCCAATAGCTTTTTTTATTGTAATCCCAATGTCTAAGAGACCTTGATCTTTTATAAAATAAAGTGATTTCCAGGAGAATCAATTTGATTAATATCACAAAAGCTCATCTTCTCAATAATCCTAAATTGACTGAAGCCTATAAATTATGGACATGGGGTGTTTCTCTTTGTAACAAAGGAAATTCAAAAGGAATGAATGTAAATTACAGTTTCACTAATCCTAATGAATCCGCTGCCAAAATTCCTACATTCAATTACAATCTAGGCTCATGTAAAGAACTTAGGTTTCATTGGTTTGCTATAATCCTAAAGGAATACGTTGAATATGTATATAATGCGAAATAATAATATCCAGAAGATCGTCTAAAAGCCAAAGATATTTACGAAAAATTAAAAACCATGAAGGAACAGTCATCAATTTATTTTAATACTCTATCTCCAACTGAAAGAATTGAAGCCTTTACTAATTTAGAATATAACATGAGTAAAATTAATAAGAGTTTGTTCAATGCTGATTAATTTTATGATAAATTAAAGGATTTAGAATAAGAATTAGAGACAGTTATTTAAAAGAATAGTCAATATGAAAACGAAGCAGATTAATGGGGTAAAAAATTATATAGAGATCTTGATGTAATTTCTATTGGTAATGATTCTTATAGAATGAGAGCTAAAATGAATAGTTTAGTATTATTGTATCATCCAGGTTAAAAGAGAACTAAAGAAGAAGAAGATTATTATTATAATATAAAATTAGAGAGGTCAAAAATTAAACCTAAAACTTTGAATAATGAAGAAGATGATAAATAAAAGATATTTCAATTTAAAATAAGATGGACAGGATGTTCTGAAGTTGATGGAAAATGGAGTGAAATTTCATTCATTTTAGGAGAACATAACGAATAAATTAGATAAATTAAATAGATTAGAAATAAAATACGATATGAATTATAAACTTATAAATATGTGGATGACAATTTAATTGTGGCCTGGAAAATTTATTGTCTATCATTATTAACTGAATTAAAGGATGTAAAGATTACATTAAACATAAGTGACTCTGAATCAGCTAATAAAATTCTGAAAAATTAAATATCTTTAAGTGAGAATTTAGAACTACAAACTAAACTCTTCAGTGAATATTTCTTCATAATAAGACCTTCAAAGTAGAAGCAATTAAAAGAATATTGGAGAAAATTGGATTTTGATAAATAATGGATATAGGGATCATTTATGAAATATGATCAATTTAAAATGATGCAACTCTAAAATTAATATAATATGATGACAAATCAAGCTAAAAACATATATGAATTTACTTCTTAAAATCCTCTTTATTAAGCCATTTATGAAAAAAGTGATATTATTATTAATATTTAGAATACATGAAATTAGAGAAAGAGGGAGAATAGTTATTTAGTAATGGGATAGCTATATTTAATGAGATGGAGAGACGTTATGAATAATTTAAGATAGATAAGGATGTTGACAAATTAATGAAATAACAATTAAGAAGTAATGATATTATTTTAAAGAAATAATCTAAACTTTCCAAATATAATTGATTAATTTATTATATATTTAGAACCTAATCAAAAAATAGATAAAATTAAATTTGATGGGGCAGACATGCAGTAATAAACGTTAAGCTAATAAGTGCCATTAGACTCAGCCATCAAAAGTGGTTCTTGGAGATTCACATTAAAATATACATTCAAATCCAAACTGTTTTCAACCTTAACAAGGATTAAAATAATTTAAATAACTATGCTCATTATTGTCATTAATAGGAGGATTGGATCAATTAAAATAAAAGACTAGAGATTAATTGAGATAATTATTTGCATAAAAAAATAATTGCTAAATAATAGTATAAAATACTATAAGAAGAGAATTAAGAATAAAAGGATTAATCAGACCACCTTAGGAAGATGATGAAGCTTTATTAATTTAGGATAAAAAGTTTAATAAATCTCTGCAAACATAATTAATATTAGCAGCTGAAATAATTAGAACATTGTAATAAGATTAAGACTTTTAGGATAAATTTCCAATGATGTGTGTATCTTTTATGGAATTGGCAGATAGTATTCAATCCTATAATTTATGATTTGTAAATAATTATGTTATGATTCACTATTTATTTTTAAATATATATTTTTTAAATTTTGTTGTGATGACTTTAAATCTTATATTCTAATTATATAATTAAAATTATATTTTTATTTTTGTAAGTGAAGACTAAATAAATAAAACGAGTTCCATTAATTAAATTATATCTAAATTATCAAAGTAAAGTGTTTTAATACTAATAATAGTAACTGCTATTCTTTTTTTTTAATAATAATTCAAAATGTTAATTAAGTATTAAGTTTGTATTATTTCTTTCTATTTTGATTATTTTCAATGGTAGTAAGTGAAGTCTAAACATTTTAATCCAAATTTGAATAAAATTTTATAATGTAGTAGAAAAATCATTATAATTTATAAATCTAAGTTTTATCAATGATGGAATGCTAAAGAATCGTATATATCTTATTTATTTGATTAATGATTCATCTATTATGTTTTGGTTATTTTATTGAATTTATAGTATGAAAAGATTCCATTTTAGATTTAAGAATGTGAATATATGGAATAAATTTATATAATTTAAGAATGGAACGTAAACTTTACTTTGGGATTGGGTAACAATTGTAAAATAAGCAATACTAATATCCAACAAATTTTATACGAACAAGCAGGTATCCATAAATTTTTAAATAAGGTATAATATGATAACTTTCCTTCCATATTCATTAGCATTACAATTTTAGAGAATGGCAAACATTTATTTTCTTATCATTGCAATATTGTCTTTTTTTAAATCCATCTCTCCATTTAGTCCAATAAATTCTATTGCACCTTTACTCTTTGTTGTGTCTTTATCAATGTTAAGAGATGGATATGAAGATTATCAAAAACATCTTAGTGATAATGAATTGAATTCATCACCTACTACTATATGGACAGAAGGAGGTTTTGTAAAAAAAACATGGAAAGATGTTTTAATTGGAGACATAATAAAAATAGATGAATTAGAAATAATTTCTGCTGACATAGTAGTTTTATAGACATCATAAGATGGAATTTGTTTTATTGAAACTTCCTCTTTAGATGGGGAGAAGAATTTAAAACCAAAATAAGCTGTTAAAGAGACCTAAACTATTGAATGTAGACAAGGAATAATTGAATGTATAAATCCAAATGCATTACTTTACAATTTTGATGGAACACTTTTTTTGGATAGTAAAAAGATTCAATTAAGTCATAAGAACTTTTTATTAAGAGGATCAAAATTGAAAAATGTAAAATGGGCTATAGGTGTTGTTGTATATACAGGAATAGACACTAAAGTAATGAGAAATTCTGAAAAGCAAAAAAATAAAATGAGCAACATAGATAAATTGATAAATGTAAGAATTATTTACATCTTAATTATGCAAGCATTTGTTTGTTTAATTTTAGCAATTATATATGGAATTAATTGTGACATTAATAAAATCAATTTTGACTATTTTAGTAGAAATTTTTCTGGTTATGCATCTTATAATGGGGATAATGAAATATATGATCCAGATATTCCAAATTGTGCTTTGGCTTCATTGATGACTTTTGCTGCCTATTTTCTACTTTTAAATACATTAATACCTATAAGTTTAATAGTATCTTTAGAATTTGTCAAAGTAGGTTAAGGAATATTTATGTAAAAAGATAAGGAAATGTATACTGCTGAAAATGATAAATATGTTAAAGTGTTTAGTACAACTATTAATGAAGAATTAGGATAAGTTCAATATGTATTTACTGATAAAACAGGAACTTTAACTTGTAATAAAATGGAATTTAAAATATCTGTTTGTGGAAATGAAATTTATGGAGATGTTTCAATGTTTGATAAACATGAAATGAGTACATTTGTTGCTAATCAAATATTAAGAAGATAAAGTACTTTACATTAAAGAAGATCTACAGTTGTTAATGAAAAAGCAGGAATTGAATATACATTTTCGGGTGCAGTCATTTAATCTATTATTACTGAAACTGATCCTATTAAGAATCCTAATATAGATCTTAATGTAGATACATATATAATCAGAAATTAAGGAGATTTAGTAAAGGAAAATCTAATTTTGTTAGCAACTTGTCATGAATGTGTTCTTGAATTATAAGATGATGGCACATTCAATTATTAAGGACCTTCTCCAGATGAAATTGCATTAGTAGATGCAGCTAGAAGATTAAATATTATCTATAAAGGAATTACTATGGGAATGATGGAAATAGATGTATTAGGAGTTAAGGAAAAAGTTGAACTATTATTTTCTTTTGAATTTAATAGTGATAGAAAGAGAATGTCTGTAATTATTAAACATAAGGGTGTGATTAAATTATATACAAAAGGAGCTGATGCAATCATTAAAGAAAGATTGGCTCCAAATTAACCATTTCTAGCTGGTGTTGATAAAAAATTGGATATGTTCTCAAGGAAAGGATTAAGAACTTTATGTTTAGCTATGAGAGTTCTTGATGAAAGATAATTCAATGAATTTTCATAAGCTATGAATGATACTTTAGGTGGTAATGATACTGAAAAATAATAAAATGAATTAATTAATCAAATTGAAAGGAATCTAACACTCATTGGAGCTACAGCTGTAGAAGATAAATTATAAGAAGATGTTCCAGAAACATTAGCTGATTTTCTTAAAGCAAATATAAATGTATGGATGTTGACAGGAGATAAATTAGAAACTGCTGAAAATATTGGTAGATCTTGTAATTTGTTATAAGAATAAATGGATATTTTCTTTTTAACTCCTGGTTGTGATATACTTTCTATATTTAATTAAATTGCAGATCATGTTATATAGAAACCAGAGACTAAGAGAGCTATGATTATAGAAGGTATAGTCTTAGCTGTTATGAATGAAAGTGAAAATCTAACTAAATATTTGGTTTTATTAGCTCCTCATCTTCATACTGTTATTTGTTGTCGTGTTACACCAAAATAAAAAGCTGATATGGTTAGATTAGTTAAAAATGAATTAGGAAAGATTACTCTAGCTGTTGGTGATGGTGCTAATGATGTTAATATGATTTAAGAAGCACATATTGGTATTGGAATATATGGACAAGAAGGTATGAGAGCAGTTCAAGCTAGTAATTATGCTATTGGTTAATTTAAATGTCTTTGGAAATTAGTTTTATATCATGGAAGATAAAATTACATTCGTATTTCTGAAATGATTTTATACTTCTTTTACAAAAATATCATTTTTACTATTCCTTAATTCTATTTTGCTTTTTTTTGTGGATTAACAGGAACTAGCGTTTTTGATGAATTGTATTATTTCTAATTTATTAATTTAGCTTTGTTTCATTTTATAATACAGTTTTTACATTTCTTCCTGTTGTTATAAGAGCTATCTTTGATGAAGATGTTTTTTATACACAATAAAGAAAACAAACAATATTAGGAAGTAAAAGAATAACTGAAGGAGAGGAAGAAAATGATATATTAAGATAAAGTTATCCATTACTTTATTATATTGGACAGAAAAACACTATTTTTACAAGTGAAAAGTATTAGATAAACTTTAATTTTTAGGTTTTTTAAATGGTTTTCAATTGGAATATTCTAAGGATTGGCATGTTTCTTTTCATTTTACTTTGAATTAAATGATACTACATTCATTAAATAATCTGGATATAACAATGATCTATGGTTTTTTAGTATGTCAATGTCTACTGCTATCATGATTGTATTCAAATAAATTTAATATTAGCTTGTTACATTAAAACTTGCATTAAATACTCAATTCTGGACAATTATTACATGGGTTGCCTATTTAGGAACCAGTTTAGGTACTTATTTTGCCTATATGTGGGTATCCAACATTATTCCATAATCTGCTATTTTTGGAACTACTTAAATGTTATTTTCAAGCTATGCATTTTATTTAAGTTTGGCATTATCAGTATTATCAATGTTTATTCTTGATTTATTAATGTTTACAATTAAAACATCAAAGGACACTTTATTAAATTATATGAAAAGATAAGCAAGATAAAAATAACAATTAGATATTGCTAAAATATCCAAATTAGAAAAGAAGCTTTAAGAATAAATCTCAGAAATGGAAATGCATGGATTTGAATTGAATTAAAAAAGAAGTTTATTTAATTCAAGTTTATTTTCAAGTGATATTATTTCGAAAAATGGGGAAGAAAAGAATAATTATTCATGAATTCATTTAATATAAATTATTTCTTAATTAATTATAAATTATATTTTTAAATCGTTTCATATGTTATGTACTACATATCTAACCTATTTATTATGAAAATTTAAATTCATTAAAACAATATTAAAATAAACCAAACAGATATGGGAATTTGTAAATCAAAATAAAAAAATTCAATTGATGTTCAATACTAAGGGTCTTTTGCCTAATTTATTAATAAAGGATCAGAAAAAAATGATATTGAAGCCTTCATAAGAGAAAAAACACAATCTCAAGATTTATTCAATCCATATCGAAATCCGATCCTTAACCGAAGGCTTAGATAAACACCAAATTGATTGATTATATTAATATAATGTTTATTGTTAACTTTCTGACAAATTTGATATAATTCTCTCTTATTGTAGAAAATTTTCATTTCCCCTTTTATTCAATATTTCGTGTCGTATTTATATATTATTTAGTATCTTCTTAATTTAATTAAATAAAAGTAGTGCAAACATGAAAATAATGTAGATCATAAAACAATGGTTAATTGTCCATAATAATGCTAAAAACGAGCATTTCACAAGACAATCTAACTGCTTTTAGAAAAAAATTAAATAAAAACGAAATTTTTAATTTATTGAATAATTCAATGATTATTAGAGGGATCTTAAAGAATACTTGAGAAATTATTCATTTCTTCTATAATAAAATTGTTTAAAAAAAAGAAATAAGATATTTGTTTTATTAATTAATATTAATTTTATTATAATATAAAAATTAAACAAACTATTGTTTTAGTCTCAAACTTATTTTTTTTACTATTTTTTGTTTTAAATCAATGATTGTTTTGTATTCATCTTTAAAAGTTTATTTTAGTTAAATTTAACTGTTTTGCAGAATATATTATTACTAATATTTAGAAATTCATAATATTTAACGATTCAATTAATAAAATACTGTTATTTTTATATTCAATTAACTTTATAAGTACTATTTGTTTTTCAAATAAAATTACAGAAATATTTTTATTTACTCTAGATGTACTCAGGAATTCTTAAGAAATTAATTTTAATATGTTTTCATTCTTACAATTAATAATTGAATTTAATGATTGTGTTTTTAAATAAATAAAAAGAAATAAAATCAAATAATCAAGAATGAGTTTAAGAAGATTTCGAAGTGGAGGTATGCATGCAAATTCAGAAGAAGATTACTTAAATGTATGATTTTTAGAAATTTCTTTTAGAAAATTGTTAAGATTGAGAAATAATAAAAGCAATAAACTTATTGCTAAGAAGATGAATACTTTGATGATTTCATTGTAAATTCATAATTTACTTTTGATTACATCCAGCAGCCTCAACTACCAGAGATCACTTAAAAATCTCATTTCATTTTAATTATGATTGATGACCTGTAATTAAGTCCAAGAAGACTTTAAAATATGATAGAATACAGTAAATTAATGTTTAAATTATTTGTAGCAGATAATTGTGACATAATGACCCAAAGTACAAATGACGATTCCTCAACATGGAGTCCATAAATTATGAATTATGATTGCATAGTTCATTCTTATAAATCAGATTATGTTAATCACTTATTTAACATATGGATAATAAATACTCCGAATATCAATTCAACTTTTCAAAGTATATAAATAACCAATATAAGATTGCTATTTCCAATTATTTGAAGCATTTATATGCGTAAATAATGTTAAAAGCATTGAATTTAATGACATTTTTGAAAAAATTAAAGAAATAAATAGTAATGTTTAATAATTCCATATGAAGGAATATGATGAAGTAACTATTATTATATTATATTATGTTAGGCTTCTCCAGAAAGAAAACAAATCAGTAATATTTAATAGATATTAAAATCCTTGATCGATTCAAGGAATTAATGATGACAGCATGTTAAAATGATCTTTTGTTTATTGTTTATGTTTCTATTTTATTAATAAGAATTTACATCTTTATATATATATTAACTATACTATTATTAATTAATAAATTAATTATTTTAATAAACTAAAATGGCAGATCAATCATAAGCTGAATATTTGAACTTAAAAGTTAAATCATAAGATGGTGAGGAGGTTTTCTTTAAAATCAAAAAATAAACATAATTTAAGAAGTTGATGGATGCCTATTGTTCTAGGCAAAATGTATTATGAAGTGATTAATTTAGCTCCAAATCTAAAATGTTAGATTTTTATTTGATGGAGAAAGAATTTTAGAAACCTAAACACCAGCAGATGTATAATACATATCTCTATTTATTAGATTGGAATGGAAACTGGAGATGAGATTGATGTTGTAATTGAATAAGTAGGTGGATGGAAAATAATGTGAAATTATCATTATATTTTATAATATATAATTTATGCTCACCTTCTTTCTCTTCCTGATTTATTAGATTAGATGTGGAGATATTTAATTGTATAACTAAAATGGAACCATTCTTTAAGATAAAATATTAGTACTATCAATATACTTATAATAGATTATTACTAAAAATGGAATGATTTACAATTATGATCTAAAATAATAATAGATTCTTTGGATATCATAATTAGGGATATCTCTTCAATCAAATGATCTCAAAAATTCTACATACTATATATAACCTTATAGAGATGGTACATACTTATTTTATGATGATTTTCCATATGTAAGTAAAAATATATAATTTAAATTAGGAAATAGAACAAGATGATATTAAATTATTGTTTAGTACTTGTCCTATGTTTAAAAATTCACTTGTTTTTAATAATAATATTGCTTTTTTTATGGATATCACAACAGGAAATTTAAAAAAATTAACTCAATTTGATGTGCAATAGCTATTGAAGAAACCTAAACTATATCAATAAGGAGTTCTAATTCATGTATAACAGTAGTATATATCTGATTTGGAATATGAATTCTCTTAATTTTATAATTCTAGAGTGTATATTAATTTCTTACTGCAATATATTCAAGGTAACTAAACTTAAAAAAGGTATAAAAATAATACATAAATTTGGAAAACATAGAATGGAATTTATGTTTAATGGAATAACAAAGTTTTTGATTTATATTTAGATAATGAAGTATTTCAAGTCTTTATTTATGATGAAGTTGAAGGATTATAATCAATAAAAATTAATCGAGATCTTATAGAATCAAGAAGCTTATAAATTATATCTGTCATAAATGATAACCTTTAATGTGAAAAAGATGGATAGTGCATGCAAATTGATTATAAACCAACAACTGCACTAGGTATATATAAATAAACAGAGTTTAAATAGTGTTTAAATGAATTTTATAATGCAAAAGTCTAATAATTACCTATTATTTATCAATAAAATAATCCTTAAATATAAGAAATATGCTTTGAAATTTACACTGAAAATAGTTCTTAAACAATGATATTATTAATTATATTTATTATTTGTTTTGTTTTATTAACAAGAATTAAATTTAAAAGGTAAAAACCTATATTTTAAATAAATGTAAAAGAATCAAATGTAGAATTAAAATATGTTTAATAGAATTAAATTTAAATTAATTAATTTTAAATTTTAGGATAAGGTTCTCATAAAACAATTGTTTATGAAGGTCTGTTTCAAAATAGAATAGTTGCTGTTAAAGAAATTAATTTATTGAATTTATCTTAAAATATGATAGATGGTGAATTAGAAAAATCATTTGTTTAATAAATGTCTTTAAGTTCTGAACAATTTTTAAAACTTTATTTTTATGAAAAAAGGAATAATCATTTTTATTTAGCTATGGATAAATATTTGATAAATTTAAAAGATTTTGTATAATATGAATCATGTAATAAATTAAATGATTCAATTAAAAATTAAATTAAATTAAAACTTTAAGACCCTAATTTTTATAAATCCTTTATACAAATTCTATTAATTGGACTATAAGAGCTTGATAATAAAAACATTAAACATCATGGATTTGATTAAGAAAATATTATATTTAATCATGATCTTCTCGTTTAATTTTGTGATCTAGGAATGTCTTAGAAAGCTGATTATTATAGATTGAAGATTAATTCATCAAATAGTGATTTCTTTCATAATCATACTTTGAAGTAGTAATTAGGTATAATATTTTACTATTTACTATCAAGAGGAGATGATCTTAAAAAATTAATATAGATTAATTAAAAGACTATTTTGAATAAATTTAAGAAATACAAAATAAAAGAATTAGATATAAGAGATTTGATACTTAAATTGCTTTTTGATGATTCAATAATTCATTATGAAAATCTCCTTTCTCATCCCTATTTTTGGACAAAAGAGAAAAAATTAAAATTTATTTGTGAATTTAGTGATTATATTGAAACTTTTCCATAAAAACCAGGTTCAATAACACTATAAGAAATATGCATTTAAAACTAGGTTTTTCAAGATAATTGGGGTAAGAAATGTGAAATACTTTTGAAGGAATAAATTCGAGGATATGATACAACCTAAGTTTTATAATTAATAAGAGTATAAAATTAACCTTATAATTAATAGCTTATTCGGAATACGAAGAATCATTACCATTAGCTTAAAAACAATTGTAAATAAATATTAGGAAATTCTGATAGAGATTTATTTGATTATTGGAATAAAAATTTTCCAAATTTATTTTTTACTCTCTACCAATATGCATGTGAAAACAATTTCAACTTATTAAGTATTAAAAAATATAGGAAATGATTATTAGAATTATTTATTAATCTCATATTGAATATATGTTATATCAATTTATATATCTGGATACATTAAAAAGAAATTATAAATTTTAGCTTATAAATTAAGAGATCTAAAAATATTGATTTTATATATAGTTTTAGTAAGGTTGATAATATGAAGCTATCTTTTTAGAATATATATTAAATAACCTTTGATATATTAAATACTTTCATAAATTCCAAACTTGTACAGACAATAAAAACGTCAGAATATAAACTAAGACCATATATAATATTATTAATAAGTTAGTTCCAATTGTTATGCATCTTTTTTTATCCTTTATTATTGTTTCTATTATGATTATTACAATAAAAATTAACAATTAATCAAAAAATTAAAATAATAATTGTTTATCCACTTACTTTCTAATATTGTATTTTTTAAATGGCCTCAAACAACATGAAATAATAAAAATAACAATTCTTTATGATGTGATTGAATATATACATTTAAGCTGCCCCATCAATTATTAAGTATTAAGAGTAATATTTGATTGTTCTAATGATAATCATGCATTCATCAGGTTAATTTTCTTTATAAGAAGTCATTCCAGATAAAAAATAACCTCCCATTAAGGCACTCATCCCACATGTTATTAATAAGCAATAGCTCCAAGAATCAATATTCTCCTCTCTCTATAATTCTATATTTTAATTTTAATTCCCATTTAATTAAATCTAGGGAATAAAATGATACTATTCATCGTATTGATTATTCTCCATTTAAGGAAAAAAAAGTTAATTTAATATTTATAATTTATTTATTTTATAAATAATTTAATATATTTGAAAAATAAATAATTCATCATTCTTATTCTCTATTAAGAACTTATTTTTGAAAATAAGCAGATTTTCATTATAATCATAAATATATGATAGATAAATTTATTTATCTTTAATAATTTTAAATTAAAACTAACTCAACTTCTTACCAAAACAAGCTATTTAAATTTCTAATTCTTTATCAAAACCAAAGAGTTTAGTTGATTTTTTGTATTAAATTTACTCTCTTAATTAAGTAATCTTTTTTTTCAAAACATTATTTAATAAATCTAATTTTCATATTGTAATTAATCTACACATTTGCAAAATTTAACATTTTGATTGATCATCAATAGAATTTCTATCAATATCTTGTTTATTGATAAAAAATAATATAACGAAATTATGTAAATATTTTTTTATTATTTTTATGTTAGAAAAAGCCCTTACTTATTGTTTATAAGAAGAAACTCCAGTTTCAATAGCTGACATAATGCAAATATAATAGAACCAACAAATAAACAATAAATAACCGAAAATTCTAGCTCAACCTACAAATATAAATCTTCAATAATTTCCATAGAAATTTATAAAACAATCTTCAATTAAAGAAATGATCAAATAAACAAGTTAAGAATTAAAATAAGTACCTAAAATTGTATAAGACTTTACTCCTTACCAAAGTGGATGGCAAAAAAACATTCTTAATAAATATTATAACCTTAAAACAGGAAATAACAGCTTTTGCAACAGTATAAATTTATATACAATAGAAACAAGAAGGAGAGCATTTTCGATTTAAATGAATTCCAAAAAAGTTAATTTAAGGATTAGAGATATGTCAATGTTTACAGAAAGAAAATTTGAATTAGAACCTAATTATTAGTTCTGATTTTATATATATATCATAATAATTATCTAATGAAAGACATTTATTATTGTATAGTTTGTTAGAACAAAACTGTTTGTCTTAATTTTAATAAATTAAATTTATAAATTATAAATTGATTACTAATAAATGTATTACCAACAGAACTACAATATCAAAATATGATTGATAAATTTTCATAACATTTGTTTAACATATAATTACTTATACTTAAAAAGATGATGAAATAATTTGGGTAGTAGATATAAATTAGTAAGAAGAGTCCAATTAATAGGTTTTAATGTCTCTGTTATAATTGCAAAATCAAATTGACAATCAAATATTCCCTAATGCTTTATCTACTTCTCTTTATCCTTCTTCCACTGCTTTTAATGTAAGTCTAATTTTTTCTTTATCTTTTTTCTTTAAGAATTCTGCCAAAGCTTTTTCACCTTCAACTTTTGCAAATTCTGGCCATTCTTTTTCATCTTAAAAGAATTTATCATTCAAAACAGGATGCATAACATCATTAGTATCTTCAAACTAAGAAATTTAAATACATATACCTTATCTTTCAAAGAATCATATTCTCTTAATTTTCTCAATTCTTCAGGATTCATTTCATTAGGTGTTCTTATTTTTAAGAATGTTAAATCTTTATGTCTAATTTCAGGTGGATGCCATACAACAGCAGGTCTTCTGCTAAACCTTTGTGCTCTTCTTGAAAAGTTGTGAGGTTTAGCTTTTAAAACATGAGGGATCTAAATGTTTAGTAAATAAGTAAACTTCATAAGAAGGATCATTAATTTTAGTAAGCATCAATTTTCTTAAATATTCACCATAAATAGAATCTAAATCTTAAGGTTTAGTCAATAAAATATAATTATCGAAACTACCAGCTTTTCTAATACATTTCATTGTCTTTGTTGTTACTTTAACATGAATTCTTCTACCTAATATTAAAGATTCATATGTTTATTTTTGAACATTGGGCATCCAAGATCGACGAGTTCTATTAATGAATAAATATGTTTACTTTTTTTCTGAAAAACAAGTCTAATTTCCTGATTTTGGTTATTTGCCATGCCAAAGACAAAATTGACTCATTATAGTATGTTTTGGGATTTGTTTTTGGCAAATTCTTTTAATTAAAGCTGTGTCTAATAATTATCTTGGACTTAATTAGGATATGCTTTTTGTAGTTGGATGAGCTGAAAGCCAATAATAAAATGAAGGACGGTAACTTAATTATTTTACACTCTTGAGTAGAACATTCATTATTTGTTAATAAATTAAATATAAAAATTTTAGTTAATTTTGTAAAATAATCAATTAGTTGTTCATCATATATGTTTATATAGGAATAATTTGGAAAACATCTAGAAAAATCATTATATATATATGTGAGTATAAATATTCAAAAAAATCATTAATTTTATAATTAGAAAAAGAATTGATGAATAAGTACATGATTGATCAAACTTAGTTAGTAGAAAATAGATAAACTTTGAATGGAGTAATAGTATTTTTTTTGATTTTGTGTTACTTTTTGAGAGAAGGACAAGTTATATGTGAAGTAGAATTCTGAATTGAGTATTTTATAATTAATAAGTTCATAAATTTCTATTAATATTTGAAGTAGAGTTATTTGAATTTATTATTGAAAAAAGTAAGTTTTCGCTTCAATTTTCTAATCATATATTATAAACACACCATCAATTATTTAAATAATATTTATTCTACTTATTAATTTTTATCGATTAATGAATTATCAATATTATTAATAATGGACTTATATTAACATTCTTACACACTCCCACCTAAACGGTTATGCAAAGAGCCAAAATTGGCAATTTCAATTTTGAAAAGGAAATTCATAGAACCAATTTAAGACTTTACTGGTGCTAGAAGAACAAGAACAAGTTTCTCACCTTAAAGAAGAATGAAATCGATTTAAATTAGATAAAAATCTGCAATACAAACATTTAATTTTGAAGTTGGATAGATAATTGTTCCAAAAAGAAATTCTAGAGTTACACGTTTTTAAGGTCCTAATTTTCCATTTAATCTAAATTACTTGATAAAGTAAATGAATGCTTTAAAATGATTTATTTATTAATTTTATAATATGTAAAATAACTTTGGAGTATAAAGGATAATTAGAACTGAAGGTGATTAAGAAATCAATTATAATAAGAAAAAGAGTGATGCAAATACTATATTACAAAAAAAAAAATCATTAACAAATATGCAGAGAGTCAGTTTTAGTACACATTCTAAAGTGAAATCAAAAGAATCCATTATTATATCAATAAATAAAATGAGTTAAGAAAAACTGTTAGATTTGTTATGTTTATCAACATAGGATTTAAAAGAGAGATTTTTGAAACCGTCAACAAAACATGAAAAAATAAAAATAGTCAATAATAAACATTTACCAAGGGATTTTCTTAACCTTCAAAGTGAAATAAAGTATTGATTTTTATTGATTTTATATATTATATTAATTCAAATTTGAACTCTAATTAAGTATGTCTGTCTAAAAAAGTAATAAAGAAAATTCTAAAAACAAGAAAGTTACAATTTCAAAAGATGAAAAGAATGACTATAATTATATGATTATGAGTCCTATTAAAGAACTATCACCAATATAGGAGAAATTAAACGAAGAGCAAAAATGTATTGAAGTTATTGAATTTGGATGGCAAAAACACAAGTTAAGAAGTGAAATACGATATTTGGATCAATTTTATACTGCAAATCCAAATATATAAAAATCTGATATCTAGCGCCTAGATTTAGATAGTTGTTTAGATGATTAAGGTAAACCTATATATCGCAAAACAACTTAAGCATTGATGTAAAATATGGCATTAAAAATCTAATCTCGAATATAAATGGCAGGAGAGTAAATTTATTAATCAATTCCATTACAATAGGCTTGTTTATGTGATTATCATTGTTTCAAAGGTGATTATGGTAAGGATTGGAAAGGGTATTAAGTGATAAAGAGCAAAATGTTGAGTGGAACAAAAAGAGCTTAAACATCAAGCAAAAAAATAATATAATAATGATTATAATTAAAACGGATTTTGTATTGTTTTTATTGATACTCACAGTTGTTGGAGTGCGGATTTCTGCTAGTCCAGAAGCAAAAGTCTATAATTGTGCTAATATTGAAATGATAGAATTGATTGGTGGTGATCCATTACCAATTGATACAAGCAAAGAAAGATATGTGAGTTTTTAAGGTGATGTAAGATTTTCTGTAAAAACTCACAAATAAACTATGGATAGTTTAAAGGAAGGAAAGGATTATTTTGGAACTAATTCAATTCACTATAGTTCAACTTAGAATGGAATTTATATATTTGTAGTTGAAAAATCTCAAGAAAACATTATATAAACATATATCAAAACAAATTTAAAGAGATAATATAAGTAAGCTTAAATACCTAAAGCATTTTATTTGAAAACAATTATAGAAGGAGATAAAAAATATGCAATACATTAAATTGTAATTAGTGATAAATAAGAAATGAAGAGAGAATTATTTAAAGAAGAAAAAGAAACTATGCAATCTGTAATATTTATTTAATAATAGAGTTTACTGGTTTACAATTTTCAAAGAAATGTGTGATTATTGTATTTGCAACATTAGAAACTGGAACAAATTCTGATTTCACTGCAGATGAATCATTCTTATAAGGAATTTAAGGAATATTAGATGATATTAATAAAGGAAGTAAATAAATTTTAATCAATAAGAAAAGTGTGATCAATTTTTTTGTAAACCACCATCTATTGCCAATCTAGCTGAAGCTTTGTCTGATCTTCCAGTCTTAAAAATTACATGTTAAAAAAAAATGTGTGCATATTCTTAAGGTGGATAAACAAAAGTCCTTTTCACAAAATGTATTTTTTTTAAGTTCTATTAGAATATAGATCCTTTTTTATAAACAGATAAAAATTTTAGATCCCTTGAGAAGACAATAAATGGTATGTTATTAACAACTATATCACCTAAAAATTAAAAGTTTGTTTCTATTACTGCCTAATTAGCCATGAAGTTTAACATTTAAGATTTTGATTTTCATTCTGGAGGATATAGTGGAGCATTTCAATCAATTAAAATTGGAGATTAAAAGCTTTATAGTGCATTAATAATAGAACCTGGGTATAATGGAATAAAAAGAAAATTACAAACTCAAACACCTGAATGTAACATACTCTTTGTAATTACTAGTATATGATTTATTGGAAGGAATTGAAAAGGTAAACTCCATTTATTATTTCATGATTATTACAAGTAAAGGACCAGAAGAGTTATTTAATGAAATTGTTTCTGTTATTGAAAAAACAAAAGTTTCAGATTAAAAGAAATTTGAATGCACTCCAATTCAAAAAGAGGATGATATATCATTTATTTAATTGAATTCAAAGGTTAATGCTTTAAAAACATAAAATAGAGATGAAAATTCTGAGGAATATGAATATGTTTATGAATATGCTTATGATGAAATTAATGATGATGAACTTGGAGAATATGAATATATCTATGAATATTAATATGAAGAATTACCAGAAGAATTAAATTAATAAGAATTCTATGAAGAAATAAATGATATATAATCAGATTAAATTGAATTTGATTAGTCAACAGATGATGATTCAGATTCAGAAGATACGGACAATCAAAATATTCCAAAAGCTGATTTATTAGAGGTTTAATAAAATGAAATGTGCTTCTAAGCTTTTTCAGAATGTGATTTCTAAGGTGCTTCACTTAAAATTTGTGGACCTAATCCAAGTATTCCAAAGGAGTTATAAAACTTTTTAATCTAATCTATAAAAATGCCTGATTAAATAAGAATTACATTCTATACAAATTAACAATAGAAAATCACCATTGAAGGAGATTAAGAATGCTTATAAAGACCTTTTGAAATAGATTAAATGAAACCTTAAAGATAACTGTTGAGTCATTAATGATAATGCAATATTAGATAAATATTCTTTATTAAATCATATAAATAAATTATATATAATCATGGCTGAAGGAAGAGAGAACTGGGCTGTAGACGAATTATTAAAGGCTGAGGAAGAAGCAAATAATATTATTAAGACAGCCTAGAAGGAAAGAGAGAAGAAAATAAAAGAGGCTAAAGTAGCAGCTGATTAAGAAATAGCAGTATTTCGTAGAGAAGAAGAAACCAGATATAATCAAGAAATCTTAAGAGTTTTATTAAATAATAATTATAGCGTTTTGGATCAACAAAAGAAGAGGAAGAATTAGAAAGAAAAACAAAGGCAGAAATTGATAAGATATATCTAGATTATGAAGCAAATAAATTAGCAGTTGTGGATATGTTAATTAAAAGAGTGATTGAAGTGAAATTGGAAGTTCCAAGAGTAGTAAAAGGATAATTTGAATAACCATAACAAAATTTATGAGATAAGATGATGAATTCATATAATTATAAATAATGAGTGGTAAAGATTTCTCATAATTTCTTTCAAACAAAGACAATTAATCAATCTAGGAAAGTGTGAAAAAAANATTATTTCATGATTATTACAAGTAAAGGACCAGAAGAGTTATTTAATGAAATTGTTTCTGTTATTGAAAAAACAAAAGTTTCAGATTAAAAGAAATTTGAATGCACTCCAATTCAAAAAGAGGATGATATATCATTTATTTAATTGAATTCAAAGGTTAATGCTTTAAAAACATAAAATAGAGATGAAAATTCTGAGGAATATGAATATGTTTATGAATATGCTTATGATGAAATTAATGATGATGAACTTGGAGAATATGAATATATCTATGAATATTAATATGAAGAATTACCAGAAGAATTAAATTAATAAGAATTCTATGAAGAAATAAATGATATATAATCAGATTAAATTGAATTTGATTAGTCAACAGATGATGATTCAGATTCAGAAGATACGGACAATCAAAATATTCCAAAAGCTGATTTATTAGAGGTTTAATAAAATGAAATGTGCTTCTAAGCTTTTTCAGAATGTGATTTCTAAGGTGCTTCACTTAAAATTTGTGGACCTAATCCAAGTATTCCAAAGGAGTTATAAAACTTTTTAATCTAATCTATAAAAATGCCTGATTAAATAAGAATTACATTCTATACAAATTAACAATAGAAAATCACCATTGAAGGAGATTAAGAATGCTTATAAAGACCTTTTGAAATAGATTAAATGAAACCTTAAAGATAACTGTTGAGTCATTAATGATAATGCAATATTAGATAAATATTCTTTATTAAATCATATAAATAAATTATATATAATCATGGCTGAAGGAAGAGAGAACTGGGCTGTAGACGAATTATTAAAGGCTGAGGAAGAAGCAAATAATATTATTAAGACAGCCTAGAAGGAAAGAGAGAAGAAAATAAAAGAGGCTAAAGTAGCAGCTGATTAAGAAATAGCAGTATTTCGTAGAGAAGAAGAAACCAGATATAATCAAGAAATCTTAAGAGTTTTATTAAATAATAATTATAGCGTTTTGGATCAACAAAAGAAGAGGAAGAATTAGAAAGAAAAACAAAGGCAGAAATTGATAAGATATATCTAGATTATGAAGCAAATAAATTAGCAGTTGTGGATATGTTAATTAAAAGAGTGATTGAAGTGAAATTGGAAGTTCCAAGAGTAGTAAAAGGATAATTTGAATAACCATAACAAAATTTATGAGATAAGATGATGAATTCATATAATTATAAATAATGAGTGGTAAAGATTTCTCATAATTTCTTTCAAACAAAGACAATTAATCAATCTAGGAAAGTGTGAAAAAAAGTATAGATCCTAATCTATTCATCAATGAACAAACTCTTAAATAAATAGAAGCAGAAACCAACAAGCATTTTTGGATCAATTACTTTACTCAATCCATTCTTACAACATTCATTGCTCCCTTAACTACCATATATACATCTTTATAATTGTCAGTTATCCCTCATTAAAATAAATATGGTGATTTACCAGATGAATCAGGCACTAAAACATCTACATAATTAGTAAAAACAACAAGAGATATTCAACCTCATGAAAAGAGGAAATTTGAATTATTGATTAAGAGTGGTGCTGTTGGAAGCAATAAACCATTTAGAGCTCCTATATATACTACTTATCGCGAAGCCATTTAAGGATTGACAAATTAAGGATGGTAGGCATTTTACAAAGGGAATTTAATTGGCATTATTCATTTATTAGCTAATAGTCATTTGAAGATTAAATTATTATCAGACTTAGATTTTAAATTAGGAGCTATGTGGCATGAAGGAAACTAATTATTACGTCAAGCTGTTATACTAGGATTAGCAACTGTTTCTGATGTTATTAGCAATCCATTTATGTTATTTTAATCTAGATTCATATTACAAAATAGATTACCAAATTTTTATTTGTATAAGAATTTATTGAGTGCCTTCAAAAAACATGTCAGACATAAGAAAGAATATTTTTAAGGATCTACCACTTATTTTTATAAAAATGGTCTTATCTTTTTGATATAAGTGCCTATACAATTCTCTTAAAAATTAGAGCAATTCTAGATGCTATATTTATACCTTTCATATAATCTAATTAGTTATCCATTTCTAACCATAGTAAGAAGATTGCATTGTTAAGTATGTTTATGTATAATTTTGAAATTAGTCTACATTACCAGGAATGATCCCCATCAGATACTCAGGACCTTTTCATGCATTGAGATTGATAACTCAAGAAGAAGGAATTAAAGGTCTATATAGAGGATTCGGGTTATATTTGATAGGGAGTGGTCTATTACAATACATTATGTTTGGAACTTAAATAGATTAGGGAGATTTTTGAAATAATTTGTTTATAATTTATGGCATAGTCATTTGCAATCTTATAAAATTCGTTCAAACATTTCGGAGAAGGACATTATAAAGAGTCTATGGAGTAATTTACAATTTAAATCTAGGGAATTGCAGAAATTTAAACAGCTTAAAGAGTAGTCTGATTAAAATCAATCAATGGTTCAAATTAATGAAAATATTATACTTTGTGAATATAATATAACTAAGGATGCCAATGTCTGTATTTCGAAATTAGATGAAATCATTGATGAAATAAGAAAACCCTAAACATAAAAGAGTAATTATTATAGCTAGTTTATCATTTTAGAAAAGAAATAAGATGATGATAGTATTTTGCAATACAATAAAGCAATTATGTTATTCTTGAGTGGAAAAATTAGACAAGCTCATAATCTCTTGAAATAATTGAAAGACAACTATAATCTTGACATTTACTTAAATATTAAAGTCAATCTACTTTTAGTCGAAACATCCTTTCAATTATAAGAATATGTTTATGCAAGTGAATTGTACAAAAAATTATCTTCTGAAGATACTTTAAAGTCATTATAACAAAAAAATCCAAGAGCAAATCAAATTGATGATTAATAATAATAGTAATCCTAATAAATCTATACATCACTTTTAATAGGGTCAGATTTACCTTATCCAGATTAGCATCCAAATACATTTAGTAAAGAAGAATTCTAATTTTTATTAAATGTAATTAAATTTCGATTTTACATACTTTCTAATGCTAAGGAATAGAAAAAATATATAGCCAATTTAGAATAGTCATATAAAAATTACATATTTCAAATAGATTAATCAAATGGAATGGCATAAAGTACAGTCCCTTCATTTTCTCAAGAAATATAACCATACTTAAAATTTCATGCTTAAATGATTTTTAAATTTATGAAGGCCTAAAAACATTTAACACTTAATGAAAATGTTTAGTGTATAAAAATGATAAATCCATAATCTGAAATTTAAAATCAATAAAATTTGGAATTCACCAAATAAAAATAATACTTATATTTAGCTTAAATTTATAATAACCTTGGTTGTGTACATGCTAAAATGGGAAAATATGCACTTGCTGCTGTTTATTTTCATAAGGCTATATCTTAAACTAAATTAGTTCAATAATAATCTAATCTCTATGAAGGTATAATTATGACAAATGTCAAATAAAGATTATATGCTATGTATTAAAACTTAGCAGATGCTTTATTTATGGATTAATAATATTAAAAAGCTCTTAATATTTATAATCAACTATAGGATTTGTGTAATTAAAGTGCTAAATTTTGGTATAATAGAGGAGTTTGTTTCATTTAAATTTATCATGATTCTATGCCAGATAAAAATGAATTATATGAAATTTCAGAAGATCATTAATAATTAAATGCTTAAGATGAAGGCAAGAAGATTATTCTTTAGAGTAGAGAAATCTATAGTGATGCTGATGAGGAAGTGTAGGATTAGTTTTATAAAATTGATTAGAAGAATGAGGAAAACAAATTTGTTTAATCTAAAGCCAATAAAGAGATACTAAACAATGCTATAAAGTAAGATAAATAAAATCTATTAGAGATCTTTTCGTAATGCAATAACCTTATCTAAAAAAGAAAAAAGAGAGGAAATCATTCTATTAGATTAAGATTAATTATAAATCTTAGGTTCTTAAATATTTGAGTCTTCCATAGTATTTTTAACATATTCCTTACTTTGTAGAGGAGATTATAATTTAGCATTGTCTCAAGGAAAGGAAGCTTTGGAATATAATCTATCAGATAATAATAAATACATAATTATTCAATATGTTTGTGAAGCATATCTATAAATTTCAAAAGTTAAGGATGCCCTCAATTTTATCAACAATAGCAGTGTGTCTTAATTTTTAAATAAATTTAATAATAGCAATTTATAATTTTAATGTAGAAATATAGTAGGAATTTAAACAACTTGTATTGCAAACTATGGACCTAAGGCAATCTATTATTTTAATTTATCAGCCATTTATCTCCACAATAATTATATTACTTAGGCTTGGAATTCAATTTAATCTATGATGAATTGTTGTGAAATTAATATCAATTCAAGCAATGCAACTATTCCAATTCCAATTTTAAATTTATTAATATGGTATTACTTGAAATCTGGTAAAATTAATTATTAATATAGATAATGTTTAACTTGCAATCCATTTAATAAAGAGAAGAAGACTATTAACAGGATAGATGGGAAAAAATAAAATATCTCTGTTAAATATTACAAAATGATATAAATAGTAAATAATAATTAATCATTCTTTTATTAATATTATAAACCACATATATATATATATATGAAATGAACAAAGAATTAAGAGATCTATCATAAATAGTATTATAACTTCACTATTTATATAACTTGATTAAAATTTCAAATTAATAAAATTGAGATCCAAAATAATTAAAATTAAGGTAAGTTCTTAATCAATTATTTTCAATCCTAATACGAAACTGATATATCAAATTAATTAAAAATAAACATATAATTTATTATTCTCATTAGATTAAATCAGCAAGTTAGATAATTAAAGGTGGAAATCCTTCTAAATTGTAAAATTTTTCTAATTCTTGAGCTGATTGTAACATCCTATTACAAGTAAAACAAATTTTATTATAATATTTTGTGTTTGCTCTTAAATAATTTATCAATTGCTAAATTATTAATTTAATAGACTTACTTAATTCGAATTATCTAAAGTTTCTACTTCAAGACGATTATACACTTAGTCTCTAATTTCTAAACATAAAGGACAATGGTTTTATTACTAAAGTGGCTTGATAGTAATTTTTTCTGCTGAGCTCAAGACAGTAAAGGTTGTTGAAGGGAAACCTTCTTACAATTTATCTATAAATTATTCTAGCAAATGATCAATATTACCATGAGCAGGTTTCTAATAATTAAAATTATAATTTTACATTTTTGACATTATTACTTAAATGTTGTCCTAAGATAAATTAGGGAAAGCTCATATTAGATTTTAATCTGAGATAATACAAAATATCTTTATTGAGTAATTCTTTAAGAGGATGCAATATTTATAATTTTTATTAATTGAGAGGGTAGATAAATGAATAATTGTATTTAGTTGCTGATTGTAAACTTAAACCTCTCCCTTTTGATAATTAAGAAAATAAATCGGCAGCTAATCTTTATCCATTTTAACCAAAGCATACCTAAATAATTAGTTTTATATACATTTTAATAACCATTTTTAATTGCATAATCATAAATAATATGTTATTTGATTAAACGAACAAAATCTTCCCTAGATGATCCAGATTCTGATAAATTTTGAAGTTATTTAAGTAATACGTAAGGATCAGGGTATATAGATTGAATATCAAC